GATATTTGCTTGGCTGGTAGCCGTGTTTTCAGACCTTCCCGCTACTATTCTGACAATAACGGAAGAAGATGTGGAGATCATCGACATGTGGATGACCATCGAATGTACTTTGATGGTAATTTGTGTGATAATCATTGCCTGCTATAACATCTTGGTGTATCTTGGAGTACGAAAGCGTAAGAAAAACCAGATTGTACCACTCACTGCAAACCAGAAAATGGAATCGAAGACGGCCAAGACATGTGGACTGCTCACGCTTGTTATCTTTTCATCCTTCCTTCCAAAACTGTTGATCTCCATTTTTTCAGAAATATTCCCGGCCCCACTACAGTCGAACTCAGCTTTCCGTCTGACAGAGACACTAGTGCAATTGAATTCCTTGCTGACTCCCTTAATTTACTGGTATCGAGACCGCCGTTTTAGGAATGCTGTTCTAGAGATACTACGACTCAGGAAACCTCAACCCATCCACCCGCCCGTTGCTGCGAGAATTGCCTGTCGAGGTAACCCAGTTGGAACGGTAGCTGAGCGGCATGATTGAAGAACCTTCTACTCACTTGAATTAGACAGTGGTCATCTCTTATCGTTGAGGCTTCTTCTTCTCGTGAAGAAAAACCGTCCGGCCAATCTGAAATTACGCAGATCAAAATTTGTGTATGCTATAAATGAAAAAAGTCGACTTTCAGCTGCTTTTCTTTCAAAGTCGGATTTTGAGAAATGAATGGGTCAGATCTCTTTACATAAGAGACTTTTTATTCCACTATCGGTTTCAGTAGATTTCGTAGCTCAGTTGGTAGTCGCGTCTAACTGGTATCTGAGAGGCATGGGTTCGAACTCTGTCGAATCACAATTCTTTTCAAGCCTCAATACCTACAACTCTCTCCATTTCAGTTCATCTGTCAGAATCGTTCATTATTTATTCGTTACAAAGTTAATAATGAGCGCGACAAGATATTTATTGTCGCATTTCTTTCTCTGCGTATTGCGTGTTTACTATTTTGGTCAGTAATCATAATTCAATGTAGTTGAAAAAGACATTCATTTCAGTGCGCGTCAATGTTGAACAAAAACTCCAAGGCAAAAGTTCACGAATCAAATAATGCGATGCGATTTACTTTGTTTTGTAAAAAAAGGCTGACGTGGAGGCACATGCTAAACAAATCTACAAGAAGTTTGCACTTTCAAAAATTTCTCATAATTCAAAATTGTAGACGAAAGAATTCCTTTACGACAAATGAAATCTCAACAGCTGTTCAACTCTAGTGCCAAAATTTTCGCTTCTCCTTGTAAATGAGCGCCATGAACTTTGTATATACATGACCCTATGAAACAAAACTGGTTCGCAATAACTTTTATTTTGAGCCGATTCTTTTAGGTCTTTTCATGGGCTGGCAAGTAAGAAAAAAATTTCTTTCAGTCTTATGAACATGAGAAATTCAAAGTTTTGTGGAATCACAACAACTATGGACAAATGTCATTATGTAATGCGCAAAGTATTACATAACAACATTGATTCAAGCCGGCTCTCACAGGAATATGATGCGGCAATGTGCCACAGTAATGTAGGTAGAATTGAATTTAACCGAACTTTAAGGCCACAATTTAATTAATTCATTTCAGTGCTCGTCAACAAGAGGCTTGCACTTTCAAAAATTATTCATAAATCAAAATTGTCGGACGAAAGAATTCCTTGACGAAAAAGGAAATCTTAACAGCTGTTCAACTCTAGTGCCAAAATTTTCGCTTCTCCTTGTAAATGAGCACGATGACTGTGTATATATATAACATTATGTAACAAAACTGGCTCGCAACAACTTTACTTCGAGCCAATTCTTTTA